CGAATTTCGGGGATGACCTTCCGCATCGCCCTCCAATTGACTCACCGTCCCCATGAGTAGTTCTTCCTCTGGCTTGCAGCACTGGCACAAGATGCTTACATTTTGCGCAGGGAACAATCACTTGGAAAATTTTGCCCGGGTCACGAACTCGTTGGGACCGCTGAGCACATGTGAACATAATGAGTTGCATGTTGAGTTTCTGCTGAGCTGCCAAAATCGTGCATCGACACTGATAATACTGTGCTACAGTACACGGTGCACAATACACAGTACTAAGTACGGTTGTGCCATAGTAATGATGGCGTTGTCCACGGTTAATCTCGAGCGAACCGTGCTACCAGTCAGCGATTGTTGGAGATTGGAAGCGCAGTGTGCATCAGCGTATTTCCCAAGAGGCTCAGCAATGTCCAATCTGTTGATATTTCAGAATTCTCAGATGATCCGACATGCATTCAATAATATCCAGTGTACGGTAGCTGCGCCCTTGCCGCAGCGTACCGCACAATTTGGCGCCCAGCGGCCTCCGACCAAGCTCAGCAGTGGCTCGCTACCGAGGTTTCTCAACTTAACAATGAACAATTCATGTGCAATTCTTGTATCATTGCCTCTGCCATTGAATTGCCACTGGACTGCCATTCCAATAATCAATTCATGTACATTGCCTCTGCCATTGAATAGCAGAGACTCGGCTGATGCAGCCTACAGCCGCTATCGCGCTCCCTGAAGCCGATGGCCTCAACCACGGAGCGCCACACAGCCACGACATCAACCCATTCCCGGCTATTGCGCCCATTCGACCGCGACTGTTAGCCTAACAATGGCCCAAGCCCACAATTCCTGGGCCTGTCAACACGGAGCAAAAAAACACTCCCAAAATCAACTAATGGTCGCCTTCTCTCCCAAGCCCTCGCATCCGCCCCACTCCCCCGTCCATCAAAAATCCCTTCCCCGGGCCCACTCTCGTCAAGGCGCTGCCATTTCTAAGGTCTCTTCCGTGGATACCCTGCTTGCGCCAGAGCCCTTCCTTTCCACGACGTTCATGTAGAGGCCGTTCGTGGTGTGGATGGTGGCCCCCGTGGTCATGCCAATTTCCTGGTCCGGGACGATGCTGAAATCGAATTCCCTCAGAATAACGGCCAGCGCGACCACGGCCTCCATGAGGGCAAACTGGTCCCCCACGCACTTCCTTGGCCCGCCGCTGAAGGGGATAAACCTACAGAAGAGAGCAAAGTCAGTAATTTACGTGACAACATGTACTGTAGGATTTGAAACCCTTCAGCACAGTAAGAAAACGCTTGGCCTGTTTTTGCGGAGAAAACAATAAAAGAAATAACGCTCTTTGAATGAAATTTTTTCGGAACAATGTAAAAAATGATAAATGGTAAACTTCCGATGCAGAGGTGTAAAAACCTGCAGAGAGGTACAAAGCACAGCAAAGTGCAACAGGCCCAATGATTGGGCACACGATTACACACGATTGTCGTGTGTAGATTAGAAGTTGGCATTTGCAACAGGGATAAATTCAGCGATGCAACATGCCCCATGGCATGGATTCCCAGTCTGCTTACTTGTAGTCAGTGTTTGACTCGTTGGGGACAGGGCCCTCCATGCCAAACCGCTCGGGAATGAAGTCCTCGGCATTTTCCCAAACGTCTGGATTGTGATGCACATTGTAAATGGAGATCATGACGTCTTGTCCAACGGGCACCTGTGACAGGTACACAGAATGTCGCGACGTCCCACCTGGTGGGCAACTGGTGCCCTCCTGTCTGTCTTTTTTCACTGGTAAATGTGCAGCTGTTGCTGTCATCGAAATCACAACACCCCAGATTTGTTCACTTCTGCCAACTTGCTGCTTTCCAGTAACAGTGTCTTACAGGGAGATGAAGACCGGTGATACAAGCAGCAGGAGCAGCAGACCCTCCCTGGGCGAACATGGCAATAAAGCAGATGGATGCTGATGAATAACTCGATGACCACATGGATGGATGCATGCATCCAACTGCAGGGTTTCCAATACGAGATAGTGCCAGTATCCAAATCTGCGCTCTGATACCTGGGGAAGTTTGGGTGAAGTCGTGTGTTGCATAATGTTCACAATGTTCCCAACAGCGTGCTTCCAGTTCGGATTTCCAATTGCCTGCTTTCAGTGTGAACTCACCCCTGTACCCTTCAAAATGAGTGCAAATGAGTCTAGAAGCACAGGCTGTTCGTCAGGTCTTGAGAATTGCAGGCAAGGAGACTGTGTATCTCCAGGCGTACCTTGTAGCCTCCAGGCAGGACGTCTGCCTGAGCAGCCCTCCTCAGCAGAACTGGCGGATGGGGGAACAACCTGAGGCTCTCACACATGCACAGGGTGATGTATCGAAGCTTCTGGTAGTCCGCCAGGGTGGGATTTTCCCGATCGCCCATGACTTGGTTTATTTCTTCCTGATTGAAAGATGAGCATGCAGCGAATCAGCGACTGACCACCAGACAAGGTTCACAGTGTCTTGTGAAGTGTCAAATTGCATCGCATTCGTATGTTATAGTGAACCATGCAGAATGGAAGCAGTTCGTCACATATCTTGTGGAAAAACAGTCCAGAATGCCAGCATCTATTTATGCAAACTTGCCTCTCAAGTGGGTACAATATTAACCGTTGTGCTACTATGCCATGAGCATGAACACATAACATCTGTGCTCACCACTGCCTTCTCCATCTTATCTGGATTCTGCACCAGCAGGTACAGTGCCCATGTTAGTGCAGAACCTGTCGTTTCGTGGCCGGCGACAAGCATCGACAGGAGGTCGTCCCTCAATTGTGTGGAAGTCACCTCCTCCCTGGAAGCCAGAAAATGGAGAATGCTGGCCTTAGTCATTTATTCAGACAGGAGGACTGCCAACTGTGCAGTCTTGCCATCTCAAAACTCCTGACAGTTTCTTTCATACCATTTGGATTTTGGCACACGGGCTGAATTTCATGCTGTTCGGCAGGCCAGAGCAGCAAGTTGTCTGGGGCTCGATTTGTGTTTGTGAGCACATAACACCACCTGATAGGTGAAAGTACAGTCCTCGTTGTGCTTCTCATGACCAGAAACAAAGGCCAATCAACATGTTGTGAACGAATGTCCTGAATCAGATGCGCTGGGCAAATGCTAAACAAATTTCAACAAGAAATTTGAGTAAATGCCATTGAAATATGCAAACACCGAGGATCATCCCCCTGCTTTGTGCAAATACATTATAATCTAGTGTTTCTGACAGATTAAACTATTGAAATGATGTGAGCAATGGCTTGACAGATGCCAACAAAGGAGACCAGCCCAAATGCATTGTACCAATGCTTCTAATCAACTGCTCTCTTCTGACAGAATCAATTGAGAGTACCCACCTGGAGGCCAGAAGGAAACGCAGCACACTGGGGTCAGACTCGTTCATGTAACCCTCGCCAAACTGGGAGTCGCCCTCAGCATCCACCATCACCTTGCACTTCCTAATCAGGTCCTCTGTGACAGCCCGGATGAGCTGGACAGACTCCAGGGCCTTCTTCTGGCGGGGGATGAAACTGGAAATCATAGGCAGCTGTGTGCAGGTAGACAGGGTGGTCAGAACATTCACTGTTCAAGCAAGCAATCCTGTGGCCTGCGGTGTCACTCTTGGGTAGGACAGTTCCTTTGAATACATTTGCAAGAACATGGCACAGCACTGCTAATGGCCAAAAGAAGATGACGTGCATAGTTGCATCTACAACTCTGTTTGCACATACTGTCCATTTTGCTCACTTTTACAGTAATTAGTCCTTTATCTAAATTACATGACTTCTACAATTCATGTAAATATTTGTCCAGTTTCAGAGGGTCAGGAGCTGAAAACCAACATTTGGAAGTCAGGAGTCGAAGTAGTGCCCCTTGGTATTCTTGGCAAAAGCACTTGAGCTTTGATGCCATAAATGTTCAAGCCAAGGTGAGCCTACACCTGTTGGCTTTCAGCACACTGTCCAAAGAGTGCCGGCGCCAATGCACTGACTTTTAATCGCCCACTGCACCACACCCAAGCCTCAAGAAGCAAGAATGGCATTTTGTTTCCAAGGGACTGATGTCCATTCCACAAGACTGGTACATCCATGACCACATTTGGTTCTGAAGATGGCCATACCCCCATGCAGCTTCGTATTCTCCATTCACGAAAACTTGTCCAACAGCTTCCACCAAATATGATGTTGTCACGTTCTGCATACAGCAAAGATTACACCGCCACCACAACCAATTTCATAGCAAGATCAACACCAATGCGCAGAAAAGGAACACGTACTGTCCAGCCTACAGAACTCCCGATACAGAATGCCCCACACTGCACCACCTGCTCTGGCAGCAATGCACAAAGCAGTGCTGTTACCTTCCAAATGGGGAGCAAGTCAGTTGCTCTCTGTTCAGTCTCTTTCAGAGCGTTGTACACTGCCTGGATCAAGGGGCTGTCCCCCTTGAGGGAATCGAAGTCGTAATTAAACACTGCCTTCCCAACGACATCCAACGTGAGTTGAGTTAGGGACGCCTCCATGTTGATGGGCTGCCCTGACCTTGCGGCCACCCGCAACTTGGCATTGAGGTAGTGAGCTGATGGACTGAAGACGCGCTCAATCATGGCTTCGAGATAGGATCTGTGAGCCACACATGCATCTGAGCCCTATTTGGCAATGCGCAGGGCACTGGGCACATGCCAGCGACTGGACTGGATGAAATGGTTCTGCTTCTGCAGGCACAACAAATCAATAGGTAGGCTGCTTGGCCTGGAGGGCAAGTTCATGTTCTGTTGTTGCCATGTCGCACTTGTTTATGGCCATTTTCAAGGCTGTCAAAGCACTGTCGTTCACTTGCTTAAGGGGATACAAACTTGTGTGCAACAAATAATGCCACCTTCCTTTGGGCCCACTGTGCACGTTTGTTAAGGCGACGCAGCCACAGCAATCTGTCCTGTCGCCAATTCTTGACAAACTGGGCAGAGCTACAGATCACGCATCTGCCATCGACGACAGCTCATCTCATCGCACTTGCCAAAATCTGACAACGAGCTGCCCACTGGCTTCAGCCACAAGACACTGCTTGGCACTTCGGAGGCATTCACCCCCTTTTTTTTGTCCGTCTCCTCTCATTTGCACCATTCTCTCTGGGTACCCTCCCTGCAATTGAGTTTCGTCCTTACATCGACTTCCATGCCACTTTTGTTGACATGTCTGGGCTCACAGTGAATGTCGACCATTCTCTATAAAGGGAGACACCCTTTCGTCACACATATGCATATGATTTCATGTTTTATGTTAATGTTCATTGTATTACAAAACTACGGATGTTCATGTACAATGTATGTTACATATGCTTTGCCCCACATACATGAACAGTCAAGGGTAATCCAAAAGAATTCAAAGAAGAGCTGTACATCCATACCACAACATATCACACACATTAATGTTGGTCAACACTCCCTGGGGCACCTGTGTAGTGCGGGACTGACCGCCTTCCTCCTGCGACGCCAGTGCTCGCCGCCGGCAACAGCAAACCCATCCCCAAACAGGAACTGTGAGACTTCCGCCACAAGCCCCTTGTTGTAGACGCCTCTCTTTGGATTGTCTGACAGCTTCAGCACATGCTTGGCACACTCGGGGTTGGAGATGACAAGGAAGCTGGAAACTGGACCTGTGGGCAGCAGGTAGACGGGGCCCGCTTCTTGGAAGTACTTGAACACGGCTTGAAACAGGGCGCCGCCCAGAAGGTCTTGAATGTCTTCAGGCGCAGCATTGACCACAGGGCAGTCCTAATGTCAAGAAAAGCAGCTGCTTGAGCCCACTTTGACAATTATGAGTCGTGCTGAACATTGTGCAACTGCCGTTATTGTATTTGTTGGAAGATGGGCAATCCTTCTAACCAACAAGGTAATGCCCACACAGTTGTGGGAACCACGAAAGCAATGTGTTAGAAATTTGTGACCACATCTATCAAAACGTTTCCAAGCGCTGCCCTTGGCTTGCATTTGGCGATGCACTGAGACGCATCCACAGTTGTTTGTTCTTCAAATGATTGTGCACCTGTTTTGCGCAGGACAGCCTGAAGTAAGGTCGATGTGAACTGGTTGTTGAATGACTGACAGCCAATGCAAGTCCTGTTTCAGTATGTTCGCATAAGCCCCAGTGGCTTGAAGACACTGCTTGTGTTTGGTAGGCTGAGGCAATGCAACCATCGCCGGCTGACCAACACTGCAGACAAGCGTTCCCAAAACAAGGCTGCCATGCCCCCGAAACGTCGATTCTATATTGAGCCATGGGTCTCCCAAAGGCGTCACAGGGGTTTCCGGAAACCAAACCACTGCCTGCACACCTGTGCCAACAATGCTCCAACAAGACAGCACCAGTGCTCCCTGATCGAGCACGGCATCCTTGGGCTGTGGATGCCCTGTCTCAACCAGGTGGCTACTATTCGAACGGTTTTTACCTCGTTTGAATGTTCTCAAAATTACCTAACCCATTTCAACACATTTGATGCCGTCAAGCCCTTCTTCATACCGATTCGCCTCCCCAAAGGCGCCCCAACTGCGTCAACCAGCCAGGGCTAATGTTTGACTTCCCTGCTCCAGCAGCATCAATCGTCCCACTCATGTCATCCACATCGAAATCTTCTTCATCCTTGACACGAACATAAACAAAGTCATTGGCATCCAGTTGCCAGGCGACAAGGCCCCCAGCATGCAGCGGCAAACGATCCGGTGTGGCCAAATCAAGCAGACGGGCACAAAAGCATCATGGCAGTAAGTACGTTGCAGTCCTTTGGGACTGTTATCCGATCCCCAACACAAAAGTAAGCTTTCGGGTGCGGAGGTCCCAAGCAAGTGCCAGAGACGGCCTCGTCACATCCAATTCCCAAAGCGATGGGGCCGCTCCAAGCACAATTACACATGGCGCACAGTTCCGTCCACACTTCCAGGCGCTCGCACAGGACCTTCGCGCAAACCGACGCGCTCTTCGCTTCGGCGCGTCGCCTAACAGACACAATCGTCGACGCATCCCCGATTGGCATTCCCAACCCACGCGCCGTTCAAGACAAACCGCGAGGCAACACTCACCTCATAGATGCCCACAGCCGCCTCCGCGACCTTCTCCGCATCCTGCATCCCCCCCGCCGAGGATGAGGTCGCCGCGCCTTGCGACCCATTCTGATCCGCAGCGCGGCATTTGGGCCGTCCGGACGACCTCCTCCCGTCCGGGATTAAGCGAACAGCGCCCTGGTCCTGCCGCAATGCTGAGGCCAGCCGGGGGCCCGGCGATCCCGCGGGCGGCCGCGCGGCGAAGCTCATGGCGGTGTGGTCGCGGGCGGGCGGGGGGGCGGGGCAGAGCGGAGGCGCATGCACACGGGCGCCCGGCGGGTGTGCTCTTGCCCGAGCCAATGACTGTGCGGCCACAATCTGCGCTTTTTCGCGCAATGTTGCCGACTCACCAACTTGCAACTCGCGCGGCGCAGTGATCTGCGAAAGATCCTTCCGCGAAGCAGTTGGCACTGCGCATGCTGAAGAGGGTGACTGAACCGGGGTCGAATCCTCGGCAGCGGTTTGCAGCGCATCAGAGGGACAGCAGGAATGCTGTCCCTTACATCCAGGCAGTTCATCAATGTTCATAACGCAATTCCTAATGCCTCATCACCTCTTTGGAGCATCTTTGTCGGTCGGTGCTGTTGCACCGGCGGTGCTATACAGTAATGGTTCCCATTAGTTGCTGTGCCAGCTTGCCAACGAGGAATTTGATGGTGCTTGGTGCTATTGCGATCCCAAATAGCACTGCTGCACCAGTGCACCAGTGCACCAGTGCACCACTGCACCACTGCACCACTGCACCACTGCACCACTGCACCACTGCACCACTGCACCACTGCACCACTGCACCACTGCACCACTGCACCACTGCACCACTGCACCACAGTTTCACTAGGCGGATCGCTTATGCCTTATGGTGTGCGACTTGTATATGCTTCAAGTGTATGGCTAATATGTGAGGTATTCTGAATCTCTGAAAAGAAAAGGAAAATGTGTCTTAAAATTCACAGAATTATTTCTCATATGATAGGACCTTCATGAATATCAATTTGTTTGTTGTGGCAGATGCAAAGACAAATGTCTTGGTTGGGGTCACGCTTGCAGTTGAAATATTTCTACATTACCACTGAACGTATGGGCACATATGGCATACGTGTTGTGGATCGGGCTACACTGTGGCGATGAGTGGGTGTCTTTGAAGTGTCTTATGGCCACGTGTTGATGGATGATCATCATCCAAGGACCACCATGTCCTTGTCACGTGAAAAAGAGAGTTCTGTGAGTGCAAGGAGAGTCGAACTCTTTGGTCGCAGGGGTCATTGCCACCGCCGGCAAGGCTCTTTGCTGTGGGAAGGGCAAGGAGATATGTAAGCCTGAGTTGCTTGTGAGTGTTGCCTTGCGTGTGGCCATCACTAGTAAAAAAACAGGCCAGATGACACAGTCCTGACACGGTCTGCTCAAAATCCAACTGTGTACTTCCGGCAAATGTGGTCCCGAAAGTACACAGTTGGATCTTGAGCAGACTGTGTCAGGACTGTGTCATCTGGCCTGTTTTTCCTTAGCGCATGTGCCAACGCTGTTGAAGCATTGGCAATCGTGGATTTGCCCTTCCCATGTGGGCTCAAAAGGGAGCTGTTAGAATCGCATCAATGGCCTGCCCTTCAAGAAAGTGCTATTTCGCCTTGAGCGGTGCTATTCAGGGACGAAATAGCACCGCTTAGCGCTGAATAGCATCGGGGGTGCTATTGCTCCCCGACCGTCAATGATGGTTTTTGACGCGTGGTGCTATTCGTATAGCCGAACAGCACCGGGGGGGAAGATAGCACCCTCCGATAGATATGTTCTTATGCGTCCAGCTGTAAATGATGCTCGATCAGTTCTGGTTACAACAGCACTGCTGATGGATGTCCCACTGCTCTACCAACCACCTGGCCTGGGGCAAGGAAGAGGGCTGTCCACTCACTTGAGTACCATTCCACCCCCAACAGCAGCGCTCCAAAGCGTGGCCATTCCGCAGGATTAGCAAAACGCATCAGTAATCCATGGCCCGTGGGCTGAGGGCGCCCTTCCTTCAGAGATGCCAAGGATGGGCGTGGGATAGAGACGGGCCGCAAACGAATGAGATTGGGCGACTCCCATGTGTGCCCTTGTCCCAATCTCCAGACCTCCATTGTTTGGGACTCAAGTCCACTAAAACTATTATTTCAAATTCAATAAAATTTTATTGAACTTAAAACTACTTCAAGAAGTAACAAATAGTTTCGGGGAATTTGTCGCGCGTGTCAACGTTCGCTGTGCATGGGTCGTTCGAAGAACAGCGGCACAGCAAGGCGCATGTGCCAGTGTACAATGCATCGGAACCCGAAGTGAATTTGCCCCTGACCCGTGTGTTAGACCCGAGAGCAGAGGGTCACGCGGGAAAGGCCGGTAGCGCTTCAGTCCAGTAAACCAGAAATGCTGCTCCGACTGATGCAGTACTCTAAGTCGGCCATGACGAACAAGCATTTTGTCGTCTGGGACGGCTGGTGCCTGGGAAGCCCAGAGCGAAGGCCGTCCCGTCGACGCTGGAGAAACGGCTCAAGGGCCGACTCTCCCGAAAGCAAGAAGTCCCGAAGGCGGTCCAAAGACTGGGCCACGGACTGCAATCGGGTGTCGCGGAGCGCGCCAACGCTCCGCGCGACGTGTAGTGCCCGGGCCGGCGTCCAAGAAGGCCAGCCGCTGGTACGGATGATTTCCTTGCTGGCCCCATTGTCCTATCTCGGGGGGCGCACCGCGGGTCGATCGTCGGAACGCACCTCCTACGCCGTAGCCCGGGAGACCCCATCCGGCCCGGCCGGTGGCACACCCCGTCCTCCGCTCAGCGATGCAAGCATATGCGCAAAGGCTGACCCACACGCGCCAGAAACAAGATTCGACGTTCGTGGGCGCGAGTGCCACCCTCAAAGGCCTCCCTTTGAGCGCCGCCTTAGCATAGTCGCGATCCGCTGCACTGTGGACTGCAGTTTTTCCTCTGCTCGGTGCCCCTGCGTCTTTTCTTTCAATTGCCGCACCACCAGGAGGATGCGGGCCGCACGCCACGGGACAGGACCTTGGCGTTCTACAGCGCACCGCTCGTGAGCCCTCAGCCAGCTGCATCGACCTCAGTGGCAGGATTCCTGGCTCTCACTTGCCTTCCGCGGATCCGCTTTGAGGAGACACTAAGGAGGAACGACTCATTCAAGAGCACGGTAGCATACGGGACTCTGCAGACCATATGGGAGGATGCGCACTTGTGCTTCATACTGCACAATTACGGGAAACATCATTACGCCAATAGGCCAGCCGCTTTCCACAGCCAGTGCGAATGGTTACGGGAACTTTGTGTTTCGCTTGTCTTTACTCATCTCCATGGCAGTGGCTGCCTTTGCTCAGAGTGATGACGAACTGGTGAGTGGAACAATGCAAGGTCAGCAACTAAACGGCATGATTTCAGCTCAAAGGACTGCAGCATTTGTGCGTGGTTGAGTTGGGAAGTGGCAACGGCATGTCTGTGCAGATCGAGTCGTCCTGTTGATTGTCCAGGAAACCTGATGTTGATGTTAGAATCCTTATCCCTTCACAGTGAGAAGGCTTTGGATTCCGCTACTTCCTCAGCAGAGCTGGACACTGGTATTGGATGCCCTTGCTAGAAACAAAGGATGCATTGTATAACAGCGCACCGCCAGTGTTCAAATCTGCCTAATTGCACTGCATCCACAGCTGTTGTGGTGTTGCCTATCTGTGGAGTCATTCTCACGCAAGACGTTCTGTTCCCAGCACATTCTTTAAAGTGCCATGGCTTGGGAATCGAACTGGAACTGTGACTGATGTAAATTAGGCTGGCAGTGCACTTTCCCATGGCCACTGACATGGAAAGGAACCCTGTTCATACTTTCACAGGCTTTGATCGAAGCAAGCGCGGAGGGGAGTTCCGATGAAGTGCAGCGATTGGTTGGAGCAGGAGTGAACATCAACATTGTGGACGATACACAGACTACTCCCCTGCACTGGGCGGCGTTCAGAGGGCACACTGAGATTGTGGAGTTTCTTGTTGAAAATGGCGCTCTGATCAACACGTTTGACAACGCAGGTTTTTGCCCTCTCGACAGTGCTGCAGAGGCAAATCATGTGAAGGTCTGTTATTCAATCTATGCTTCATGGGAATCTTGTTTCAGGTTGATTCTGTAGGTGGACACATGCAAAGTCCCTCGTTGACAGTGTGCTGAAGTTCACGCAAATGAATACTCAATTGTGAATGACCATTCCCTGAATCTGGGCTGCCTGTTTTGTCAGTCGAGTGTGCGCAGCTCAGTTGTGCCGCATGAGGGTGAGGAGACATTCAATTTTCAATTTGGTCAGTTTTGAGCCTCGGCTGATTCTGATGTGGTGCTCCGGTAAGAGGGGAGATTTCGTCAGCGGCGTGTAGATGACATGGCGGACCCAGACTTCAAAACAAAACGGTCATGACCAAATGATGCAGGGAATGAAGAATTTGAGGTTTCGTGTTGAGCAGCGCCCTTCAGAAGTCCGTTCTTGATATGGCAGTTCTGTGCATCAACACGTATCTTTTGTGCCTATTACCCATGCATTGGCCCCAAATGCGTTTACCCTAGGGTATTTAATCACAGTCCTCCTTCGGTAAAGGTCACAATCCCCCCATCCACTTCGTTGCAGTTGCTGCGTTTGGATTCATTTTGCACTGGTGAGTAGAGTGGTGTATTAAGCCCCACCGCTGCTCTCTCGCTGACAACCACCAGATTTTCATTCGTGGGCATCCAGTTTCAGAGTACTGTGGTAACAGATGTCAATTTATGGCTGAATGGTCATCAACGCATTCACCTTGCCCCATTGCCCAGAAAATATATATGCAGCAAAACTTCCCAATGGACAAGGGGCGTGCCATGTTTGACGTTTTACGTCCCAACACAAGCCCAACTCAGTGGCTGCAGCGGTCTTTCAAAACCACGCACTTTGGCGGTCGAATATGAAAAGGCCGTGCATCGTAGCGACCTGTTTCCCGGTGGAGATTTCGTAACAGTAGCCTGTGCTTCAGATTGCCAGGACCCTTGTTCAGGCTGGGGCAACCATTGATGCCAGAAATGTGGAGGGGCGGACGCCACTGTATGCAGCCGCCAGTGAAGGAAACCTGGGGATCGTGCGCCTTCTCCTTGGCGCGGGGGCTGCGGTGGAGGCCAGGTGGGGGAAGCGGGCCTTCACCACATAGACATCGCATGAACGTTGTGCAGAAA